CCCTAACTCAGTTTGCCCTTACCAAACTGAAATATTTTAGAACTTTCTCAATGTGACAAAGGGCCATGGAAACATCACACACTTTGAAATCCTTTGGAATGTTGCATTTCATCACAGGCCTGAAAATGTCCAACAGCCTCTTTGAAAAACCATCATCATTCAAACCATTAACCTGACTCAGATCTAATTTTGACATCTACACTTAACAGGCATGGCCTCTTTTGTTCGTTCCACAGGTACTGTTCTCGTTTGTTGAGGCTTTGCCATAAGGGCATGTTTTGGCTGTGGAATTGTCTCGAGATTTTCGCTCCTGTAGCCGCTCCATGCCACTGCACACACCGCCTGCTCAGGATACTCAGGGAATGCAGCGAGTTACATCATCCGGCATGGCCTTATCAACCCATGAATCACGGGCTGCTAGAGAACTCTCAAAGGCTGTTTTGTCTTTCCCTGTGCTTAGAACTCTCTGCACCCGCGGCACACCTCCTCCAGACACGGGTATTTGTTTACAGCGGCCCAAATTTGGGGCTTTTTATCGCAGGCTGCCATGCTGTGGGGAAGGGGAAGTGCTTTAGCGTAGGGACGCTTATCTGCAGCCAGGGAACAAAAGCAAATTCTGCAGGTAAACCACCTCTCCACTAACCAGCTGCTACAGTCTATTCAGTTACCGCACCCATTGAAGGAAGAAGAAAAAATGATAATAAAAAAGATCCTCCAGCAGAAGTGATGGCTGCGATTAGCTATGATTGATAAGGATACTTAATAAGTCATTAGAATAGGATTTAATGCTCAGCTCTATTCAGCAGGCAAGCAGTGAAGTGAAGGGGAGTAAATGAGCAGCAGCTAGCAAGGCAGCGGTCTGGAGAACGCAGGGGTGCAGGTCAGGGAACAGGGCCGCTGCGGAGTAGAGAAGTCCATTTACTCAATCTCTGAAGCAGAGGGGAGCAGTAATCCATTACAGTTACTCACTTACATGTACTTCTTGGACATTTTGGATGAGTTTCTCAAATACATATTACATTTTTTTCCCTAGAACTATACATCTAAGCCAAACTTATTCAGTTAAGTTTTTTTTAAGACTGTAGTTATTAATTGTAGTATATTTTAAAAGTTTTATTTTGAGTGTTCTGACAAGACCCACCTCCTTTAGGTACTGTTGCTGTGTCTAACAAGCTTTCAGTTTAGGCTCCCTAGAAAACCACAACAGCAGAAAGGGAAGTTTTCTTAGGTAAGAACAGAATCTTCACACACTAAAGAGCACAAAGGTGTGAACAATTCTGCGGTTTAAGAATACATCATGAATCTGATGTAGACTTTTTCTTATGATCATTCTCAAGAACACATTTAAGAAAAAAACTATGACAAATGAGGCCCAATGATTGGAAGGATACTTTAGTTTATTTGATTTAGAGTTACAAGCACATTAATAAACATTTCTGTAATTGTGCCAGTTCAGCCAATTTGGCTCATTTTCAGCTGCTGGGCTGGTATAAATGGACCAAAGCACTTATAAAATTACAGAAAACATGAATAATACAGACAGCAACACAAGACAACAAATAAAGCACAATGATGGCTGTTAAAATGATTTACATACTATGATGACATTGATCGTCTTTTAGCTGTGGTTTTAAATTTGCTGAAAAAGAGCCAAATGTAGCACATTCTCTTATATGAACAGGCAGATTGTTCCAAGTGTGAGCTACTCTTACTGAAAAAGCTGACTGTCCAAAGCATGTCTTTCTCATAGGCATCATGTCTCCTCTTGTCACAGATCTAGTCGACCTATTTTCAGTTGTTTTTTGTCTAATCAAAGCAGTTGGAGGATGAGGAGCCATGCAGGATATTATTTACAAAAGGCATCTACAAATTTAAGTACGTTATCCCAGCTGACCAAGCTGTGATTTTTTTATACTTCTTGATACAGACCTATTTATATGTAAGAGATACCTGGTAGCATCTGTAGTCTGTTAGTACTAACAGAAAACCACACCGGCACAAAGGAAAGTTACTTTTAATTATTAAATTATAAACTTTTAAAAGATAAACTGGCTTTACAGGATGTTCATTTGAAACATACATCTAAGTGCAAAAGTTTGGGCCCCCTAGTCAAATTAAATGTTTTGTTGATTTTCTAAGTGAAAGGAAGTTAATCCTCTATAGAGAACACACTTCTGCACAATTTAATGCTCAGTTGCACTTTACTTACTGAATTTAACATATTGAGGGAAAAAAAAAAACATAATTTGGTGTTTTATTTTTTTCCCCACTGTGGTAAAAAACTCACTAACTGTGCACTCAAATTTGCAGAAAAATTTCCCCCCAGGCCTTCTGTAGATAATATGACAACTTATTTTCACTTAGAAAATCAATAAAACCTGTAATTTGACTGGGGGTGTCAAAATATGAATGTAGGCCACTTTAAATTAAAAACTGAATTCTGGAAACAATGTTTTCATTCATGCTACTAGGAAACCTTTTAGTGGCTGGAAGTTAAATCAGCAGGATTTTCATGTCTAAAAAGCTATGAAAGCTGCCCCTTCAGATGAGCTAATGCTAAACACTAGAGTCAATCAGAACAACCTTATTCATAAGAAGGACTCTTCTTCTTTTGTCCAAGATCTTTCAGCAAACTTTAATGAAACAACAGATGTAATGGCATGCGTTCGATTACATGACTATTTATCTTTACGCAGAATGCTTTTAATTGAAAATAAGAGCACTACACATTCCTGTTTAATCTCAATAATTAACATAATTAAAAGTACAATTACTTATAGTTTATCAAGCTAAGTGTCAGTTGCTGTTACAAACAGCTTACTCTGTTAACTGGCTGTTTGATCTTAACATTGTTCTGTAACATTATTTATTGTTAGACCTCTTATTAAAATGTGTATTAGCAAGTACAGTAACCCTAATAAAGTTTAGCTTAACTTTAGAGCCAGTATAAGTCTTTAATTAACAATTCTGACACTGAGCTGTGAGTGTGGCCTTCACATAGTTTAATCTGAAACCTTTCTAGCTTCAGGAAAGAAGATAAAAACAACACTACCTTCCAGATTATTAGGACAGCATGTGCTTCAATTAACATAATAAACATTTTCATATCTCTCAGTCTGATTTACTTCCACTGCTGTTCACACTGCAGGTTTGTTAGTTAGTTAAAATGAGTTTTATCAGGGTTTTTCTTTCACTTGATAGAAGAAACAGTGTTTAAAGATGGTTGTGATTGGCTGAGAGGTGTGTCAATCATTATTTTGCAACTGGTCAGATATATCAGATCTGATTTATCATGTCTCACCCTTTCAAAAGTACTAATTAAATTAAAAATATTGCTGGTTTGAACATAATTTACATTTATTTTCACAGTTTACAAGCAATTTAATACAGCATCACTGGATACCTCGTTCTACTTCAGCTCTTACTTTTAAAGTAAGTTAGAGCTGGCCTACTTAAGAAGCAATCCATTTATTTGAGTAATACTTCTAGGTACTCTACGAACAACCTCTACTATTGTATTCCCTTAACTGATGTCACCCCAAAATAGTTCTTTAACTGTCTTTCAGTCTTAAACTCTTTGTGGATTAGCTGCAAAGAGGTGAGAGAAAAATGAAGGGGTCATGTTCCATTTGCGAGGCTTTCTTTTCCCCGCTGCTGTGCTGTTTAACCCCGGGATCCTGGCCGCTCTCCCAGCCTTCTCACCCAGGTCCGCTCGAGTAATTACCCCCCTTCTAATCGAACTGCCTGATGAAAACATCTAAGTGACTTTTCAGGAGCTCTGCTTTATCCAGTAAACCTCTTGATTTAGCTGTCTGTTTCTTTGTGTGAAAGGAGACAGCTGATTCACACATCGCCAATATTAGTATACAGATTGAAGCTGTGTAGATAGAACAACTGTATATATAGTGTAAACTACCAATAATAGCAGAACTGGCTAGTCACTAATGGTCACTACAAATTGAATTTGCTCCTGTGTAATAAAACCCTTTAAGGTACTTGAGTACTGTCATACTTTTGCATGGTAAAAAATAAAAATAGCTAAATTGTTCTTTAAAGTAGCCTATAACATACAGCAGTGGCCACCAACTCTCCTCCTGGAGATCTACCTTCCAGCCTGTTTCACCTCCAGCCCGATCTTTTCAGCTAAAGGACTTATGAAGACAATTATTAGATCAGATGGGGTTGATTAGAGTTGGAGCTAAAATGTGGAAGGTAGAGGTTGGTGACCACTGGCATACAGTATTACACACCATTATGGTATAAATTAATTGGTCAGTCAGATACTGTACAGCACTGATAATGTTACTATTCTCATTTGTGCAAACATATTTGATGGATAACGCTTCTCTGGACACTGGAACTGATCCTACACCCTTGAGTAGAAGGAATGCATACTGCTCCTTCTGATGAGATGTGAATAACAGGGACAGCATTTTTATGAAGTTGCTATTACTGATAAATGATTTTAACAATGAAAACTTTTGAAATCATCGTGCACTGTGTTCTACTTACCACTGTCGCACCCCAATTTCCCCTAAGGAATCAATAAAGTACATCCATAAAGCTGAAGCCTGTTACTCAGTAGTAGAAGTATCTCATCTAGGTGACCATAAGCAGCTGATGTCACTGTGTAAATCACTGCGTTCTTTCTTAGGCTGCGAAAAAGAAACGGCGCGGATTGGTGCTACTCTATTAAAGCCTCTCATTTTCATGTAAGTGGGTCACTTTGATTAAGGTTCCCTAATTTAAACAGAGAAATTCAAGCTATATTCACTTCAAACAAGCAGCTTATTTCTTGTGTGCTCTAAAGTCTGTGCAGTTCACTTTACCCTCTCTCCCTCAGCTCAGCCCTGCTATGTTTTTGTGCATCATGGCCGGCAGCGCTCTGGTCATGAACGGGTGCTGCGGAAGCCCCGCCCCTTCCGCTCCCAGGCTCTGTCCAGTGAGAGAGCGGGACGCAGCGTGGTGGGCGGGGCGTGGAGCTGCCGTCGTGTCGGGACGGGAATGTGAGAGAGGAGCGAGAGGAGCGAGCGGAGCAGCCGAGCGGTTGGGCTTCGGGATCCGGGCGGACAGCTCGTTCATTTTCTAGCAGACACGGAGACTGAGAACAGCCCGCTGTTTTCGCTTCTTCTCACCGGGCGACTCTCTCTGCTCTGCTCCGCTCTCTCTGGACCCGCTGGCCCCATGAAAGGAGCTACTGAACGGATCTACTTCTTTATTCGCGTGTGACGGTCTGAGGGGAAAGAAAGAAAGAAAGAAATGCAGGGATTTGTGAGGTTACAGCGCTTACGGTGAGCCGCCCCCTTCATTTCCACGCGCTTTCTTTGGTTTTTATGGTAGTAGATGGAGTGAATCAGGACGTGTTTACAGCGTCGAAGGCGAAACCTCAGTCGGTCGGCGTGTTTGAGGACTTCACATCCCCGCTCTGTAGGGCGCTCCAAAGGGGGAAACTACGAGGACCCCCTCCTCCTCCTCCTCCCTCCCACGGCGACTGGATGGAAGTTGTTTGGAAGACAGGACGGGTAACCCGAGTGCGTTAGCTACAGGGCTAGTTTACTTCATTTGAGCAGGCTGAGTAAAGCGGCGAGGCAGTGTGTGTGTGTTTGTGAGGCTCATGAGATCGCCGTCTATTGAAAGGCAGTGCGGGAGAGTCTTACGATGTTAAAACTAGTACTCGGGAGAGTGTGGGAATAGCCTTTCAAGTCGCCCACATGCGCTGGATCGGCCTCTTGGTGCGGGAACGGAATCCGAAGCTGAGGGAAGACGCGAGCAACCCCGTGCAGGCTGGAAGATGGCGCCGGAGCCGCGGAGCCGGAGGCGGTGAGAGAGCCCGACTTGGAGCCACTCGACCTTGGTTTGCGAGCGCCGCCGATCCGCCGACCCATGCAGGCCAAAAAGCGCTACCTGATCTCGCTGCTGACGGGCGCCTCCCTCGTGCTGCTGCTCTACTTCGGCGGCGTGCCGGGCCCAGCTCCGGCCACCAGCCGGCATGAGCGCGCGCGAGGAGGTGGCGGCGGCGGGCGGCGCTCCGGGCAGCCGTGGCCGCACACGTCCGAGCCCTTCCAGCCGTTCAGCCCGGGGGATGAGACAGACACGGTGGAGTACAACGCGCACGTGTCGCCGCGGCAGAAGCGCGAGGTGCACGCGAGCGTGTACCGGGGCAAGCGCTGCCGCATGGACTCGTGTTTCGACTTCTCGCTGTGCCGGCGGAACGGCTTCAAGGTGTACGTGTACCCGCAGCAGAAGGGCGAGAAGATCTCGGAAAGCTACCAGAGCATCCTGGCGGCCATCGAGGGCTCGCGCTTCTTCACCTCGGACCCGAGCCAGGCGTGCCTCTTCGTGCTCAGCCTGGACACTCTGGACCGCGACCAGCTTTCGCCGCACTACGTGCACAACCTGAAGAGCAAGGTGCAGAGCCTGCCGCTGTGGAACGACGGCCGGAACCACTTGGTGTTCAACCTGTACTCGGGCACGTGGCCGGACTATACGGAGGACCTGGGCTTCGACATCGGCCAAGCCATGCTGGCCAAGGCGAGCGTGAGCACGGAAAACTTCCGACCCGGCTTCGACGTGTCCATCCCGCTCTTCCCCAAGGAGCACCCGCGCAGCGGCGGCGAGCGGGGCCACCTCAGGGCCAACAGCATCCCACCCTTCCGCAAGTACATGCTGGTGTTCAAGGGGAAGCGCTACCTGACCGGCATCGGCTCGGACACGCGCAACGCCCTCTACCACGTGCACAACGCCGAGGACGTGGTGCTGCTCACGACGTGCAAACACGGCAAGGACTGGCAGAAGCACAAGGACGCGCGCTGCGACAAGGACAACGCCGAATATGACAAGTGAGTTTCACCTTTAAGTCAGGCTTGTCCACTTCAGGTCCGGCGCACTTTGGATTCCCTTCCTCAAACACAGTTTTTAAACCTGGTCACAGGTTGCCAAGTTGAGGCAGGTGTCTTTTGAGCAGGGAAGTCACCAAACTGTGCCGGGGCGAGGCCCTCCAGAACTCGAGCTGCCTTGAGTCCAGCAGTTGGCCCAGTTACAGGGACACCTGAGCTGCTCTTGCTCTTTCTTTATCTCAACACTCTATACATCAGCTCCTGGTCCGTGTGGTTCGGTTCACAAAGCAGTTAGCCAGACAACTTAAGGGATGTCCAAAAGTGGGAGACCTAAGTCATGCCCTTATTGGACAGTCTTCAATTTTTGGCTTGGTATATTGAGCTAAACTTAGAACCCCTAGTTAATGAAATACCCAAACTATAGTTCGATGCCCTGTTTGAACAAACCTGCTTCATCTTAGAACTTAATTAGATGGTGATGATGTGACCTGCATGACAGGTGGGCCTAAACCAAAACACTAATCCATACTGTCATGACAGTAGTTGCTCAGGGCCTGTTATGCAGAACTGTGTAATAAGAATAGGTGAATGCTTTAACAGGCTTGTGTGTCATCAGTAACTACCATCTTCTATTATCTACCTTACAGTAACCTGTACATGTCTAGTCAGTAGTCTGCCAGCTCTTCTTTGGAGCTTTAGTCACTGGCTTTTCTCCTGGATTTTTCCTGTGGGTGATTGGCTGAATGGCTCTGTTAAATCCTTATTGTAAATTTCGTATTATTATTCCGACATCCAGCTTCACTTGGAGGAGAATGACTTTTCCTTTTGACGCTTGGTTCCTCTGTGTTCTTTCCTAATGCTTTTGTGAGGTTTTTCTTCCACACTTTGCCATCTGATTGCTTATTAAGGGTCTGGCCCTGGATTTCTGTTGGGGCAACGTCTGTTGTGAAGAGCACCATACAAAGAAAATTGAATTGAACTCTGAATTGAATTGGATCTGCCCCAGACCTCTGTTTGCCGTGACCGTTCTGGAGACTATCAGAGCACACGGGCTGTGCGTGTGATTTTCAGATTGTGAACCACTTTTATTGCCATCGAGAGCTATTGACAGGGTAGGCACAATCTCACAAAGCTTGGAGTTGTGATCTAGAGGCCCTGGCATTCTCCCTTTTAAGCCTCACCCCACTACTTGCACTCACATCTGTGTGAATGACTGGGCTGCTGCACTTTCTCCCACTTTTCGCCCTTTCCACCAGAGGAATTTCTTGTATCTCATATTTCACACCCTTCTCCTGGCTTATGATGTCGAAGCTTAAGTAGGATATGCTTGGACACGTTTCATTTACCTGAACATTAAGCAGTGTGCAGATCAACTGAACGGTGAAATGAAATGGACATATCCTTGTTGACCTTGTCTCGCTGTTGATGGAGTGCAAATATTGCCTTAGTATTTTGTGGATGTGCAAGAAAATCGTGCACTTTGTGAAGCTACAGCGAAATTAATGTAGTAAGGTGTAAAATTTTACAGCCTTTTAAGATTAAAGCGTACGTCAAATCAGTCCACTATACTACTATTATAGAAACAGTACCTGCTTTCTATGTCCATCTGTTATCTCCAGCATAGCCTGGTAGCGAAATACAAATGTATATTTGTCATTAAACATGTATTAACAGTTGGCAGTGCATATCCATCCAGTGCTGCATGCTGTAGAGCTATTCTTTCCTGAGGAGTATTTGTGGCTGTGCACCTGCACCAGGTCACCACTCATCCTCCCACTTCTGCTCCCTCCTGCTTAGCCATGGCACTAATGTGCAGGGATATTTTTGGCATCGAACCCTTCCCTCCCATGACACTGCAGAGGTGCTACTCAGCAGGGCACACTGATGTTAATTGGGAAGAGAGTGTGTTTGTGGACAGCTGTTTGGAACATGAGCAAGCTGAGCCAAGCAGAAATGCTGCAGCTGACACGGGCCTGCGTGTTCCTATTATTGCTTTTTCTGGGTCTGTAGGGAAGAGCGAGCTGGTGAAGTTGATTGAAGTTAGCAAATTAGGTTGGCTGGTTTGATGAAGCCTAAGTGTAGTGCTTGACTGTGTCGGGTTTTTTTTTCTACTCGGTTTGATTCCTTTGAACAGGCGTGGTATGCATCCAAATAAACTTTCAATAATCCAGCTGTCGTTTCGTAGCCCCCTCACCATTAGTCACGATTCTGGCCATACAGAGTCCCACAGAGTCCCACAGAGGTGTCTGGAATTGGTACATTTTTTCCAATGTAACGAAATAGAAGGATTAGTAGATCCCACTTCCTCCTTAGGGAGATGCATTATGTCAGACTTTGCTGTATTGGCTTCTGCCCAGCATAATGTTAACTCTGAACCATGGAAAAGGATCTGACTCAACTTGGCAAACATGCTTAGCTCTGTCTTATTGTGATAAATTTGATAGTATACTGTTCCTGTTATTTCAGTTGTGGTTATATGATGTATTTGAAATAAGGGCTTACCCTCTATGCAAAGCAGTGTCTTCCCTCTTTAGAACGGTAGGGCTGGTTTCAGTGTGGTGGTACAGCATACCTAGGTGATAATATTAGCCCAGATTGGAGGCCTCCTAAACTGACTTTGACATTTATACCAGGCTTTTTAAGAAGTTTTAATGTTCTTATTTTTATGCTTGCCAAGAATTAAAAGCAAGGTATTAACTACTGCTGCTTTTTTGTAACCCAAGCAGACATAACCACAAAAGCCCATTAATATGCCGACCACAGCTCTAAACCGCCATGCACCTGCTCGTCCTGATGTATTGGTGGTCCAGCTGACTGTCTGTCATGCTTGTAATAGAGCTCTGGTGCTGGGGACCGAACTCCTCCCTTTACCAAGCTGATATAAGGGTCTAGCGCCATGCCGTGGCTTAATAAACGAGAATTGTTTAAGAGCATTCACTGGTCACCGGCTGGGAAAACTAGGGAAATCCTATTCATCCCAATGTCATTTGCAGAAGTGGTCACATTGATCAGATGCAGATGGAGGAAATGATTTTAAATCCCCCATCCATGGGAGGGATATTAAATCTGGCATCCAGGCTGCTGCTCCATCAGTGTCTTAAGGCTTTTTTCCCCACTAAAAAAAAAAAATCCTACAAATCCTGTTTCCTGGAAAATGAGTGGGCAGACGTTGAAGGGTAATATTTGTAGGGCAGTGTTCCTGTAAAAGGCCTGTCAGGTGATGACTTGCCATTTAATACCTAACCTGGTAATATTTAACTGGGTATTTGCACCTTTATTGACTCAATGCGGCAGCCCTGCTCGCGGCCATTTGAGGACACAGTTTAGCCAGGGTTCTGTAACTCACCCGCACTAGTTTATTTTATGGCAAATTTCCATCATAGCATAGCATATCAAGTCAGCCACTTTTGACAGTGCGAGTTCGGATTCCTTCAAATCATCTTGTGGCGAGTGTGTTGGGGGGGTGTTTGCTTCTGTAAATTGCCCGGGGCCTGTTTTGATGGAATTATTTGGGGAATGGGAACTCTAGAATACATTTCATATTTTTAGAACTTGCGTCTTTCTTCTGGCATGTAATGAACCTTGATTTATTTATTTTTTTTGTCCGTTTACAAGGCAGTTTTATAGCATGCCTCTAATTGTAAATGACAAAGTGGAGCGCTGGGGTGACACTTGTTCTGTCGGGGCAGGGCTGGCTCTGTTGAAGTTAACACAAATGTTTAATTTGTGCAATTTCTGCATGCCCAACGTCTTTGAGGCAGGCTTCCCTACTGCTTCTGTTATTTGTTTCTGTTGTCGCATTAATAAATCATGAATTTTTCATGATCTTGCCTCACTTAAAGCAGTGGCCCGTGATTGTGTGAAAAAATGCTAATGCCGAGGTAATTAGCCAGAATAGAGTTCTGCTTAATTACTGATACTTGATTATATATTTCTGCGCATAATGTGGTGTGACTGCTTTATCTTAGTCAGTGAATCTTTTTAATTGTGTATGTGTTTAGAGTTGAAGGTTGTCTGTGTTTAGTTTTAGTTTCAGCTTTACAGTTTCTCTGATGGTTTGAGGTACAGTTGTTAAGTCAGTTGAAGAACTGAGTGACTAATTTCTGGATACGGTGGGGCTGTACTGTCGATGTTGTCACTGGTAGGAAATGAATGTTGTGTAAACGTATCCTTCTCACTGCAGCCTTGTTTCTCATGCTTGTATGGATGCGTGTGCACTGATCCTAGCGGTGACCTCTGTGTCTGTTCCTGCCTGTGTGGCCTAGGCTGAGTCCCCTGCTCACTGACCCACATTCAGGGGGATTATCAAAGGGAAATTCCCCTCAGGCAAAAGGATAGGGGGAGAAAAAAATCCCACCAAAACCCTTAACAGAAGGCACTCATGAGGTGATCTGGTCATGCTATTACTCCAAAGTAATAGATCGTTTTTTACACTTTACACTTCTTCCTTTTTCTTTCTTCTCCAGAACTAGACTGACCCTGAAGCAGCTTGTGGATCTGATACAGCACAGCAATCCAAATACAGTAATACCACCTCCACATGTGAATACATACACATTAATAGCGGCACCATTTTTGGACGGATTGAAGCAATTCAAGTGGCAGTAAATGAAAATACAGGATAAGAAGGCACAAAACGAGTCTTTTTATCCACGGCCTGTCAGGGAGTGCTTGACGCTCATGAATTAATAAGTGGAAGGTAAAGCGGTAAAAGCATCTCTCGTTCTGAAGTAGGAGGCAGGCAGCCAATTGGTTCCTTTTGAAAAGGAATTTTCAGAGGCAGACAGTTGATTGGCTCCTGCTTGAGGTCTTTACTGAGAGGAGAATTTCCTCGCTGTGGCCTTAACATCAAAGGGCCTGTGTGGCAATTCTGCTTGTTTATGCCATGCTACTTGAAAGGCCCAAAGTTTGTAGAGGGAGGCTGTTGGCTCACCCATTAGTCTCACTGGAGTAGAACTGATGGGAGAAGATATTGTGATTCCCTGTTTGTAAAATATTGATGT